ACAATTAGCATACAGTTTGTATTGGCGGTATGGTTCCATTCTGGGCAAGAACTCCCTGCGCATCCATGCAGCCTAGCATGGATGAGAGCAGGGAGAGCAGCGATAACCCCCCCAGGGTAAACAGAACAGAACCAACATAAATGTATTGCAGATATCGTTAAGTTCAATAATGTTATGTACACATTTTAGAATTAGTCTGATTCAAAGGAGAATCAGAAGGCTGAATCCTGACTGACAGAGGAGGAGTTGGGGATGGAGGAGGGTAATTAGCTATTGAGCAATGCGAAAACTGCTGATACTACTGCGGGACCTTATATATGAATACTTAGATGGGTGTCATATTCCAATAGGTTGATGGGGATCAGCTCTGAGTCAGCTGATGCGAGCTTGACTAACGTGACCTGCCAGAACTGACGCTACGCTAGATTATTACGTAATACACTCAAAATAGCATTACTAAAATAGTATTAAATAGTATTAGTATTAAATAGTAATATATCATTCTAATATGCTGATTTGCTGCTCAAGAAACATTTCTTATTATTAATGATGAAAACGGTGGTGCTTATCCTTTTTTCTGGAAATGGTGATAAGCTTTTTTTCAGGATTCTTTGATTAATAAAAAAAATCAAAAGAACAGCATTTATGTGAACTATAACTCTTTTGTAACATTATACATGCTTTTTTTATTTCACTTTTGATTAATTGAATGTATCCTTTTTTTATCTTACTTATAATTACCCGAAACCTGAATGGCAGTGTATCACAGATTTCACAAAAAGCTAAATTAGCATAAAGCTGCATTAACACTGACATTGACAATAAGAAAGGCTTCTTGAGCACCAAATCATCATATTAGAATAATTTCTGAAGGATCATGTGACACTGAAGACTGGAGTAATAACTATTCAAACAGAAACTTATGAATTGCAGTAATAATATTTACCAGTATTACTAAATTGTACTATTTTTTACCAGTAAACAGAGAAGAACTTCCAAAAAAGAGACCTTATCAGCACTTTTCTGCCTCCAAATTGTTGTTGTATCTAGAAGAACAGGGTGGCCTGGCACTGCTTTAACAGTGGGCCCGGCCAGAGAGTGGGCTTCCTGTCAGACTTGCCATGAAGGTACAGAGGAGTTCTATTCTGAGTGAGCAAATACGCAGGAGTGCAGTTGACTTCAAAGTCCAAGGCTGCCCCCTCACAGAGCCCAGAGTCTCTGAACTCCTACCAATGTCCCTTTAATCGCACAAAGAGCCCAAGAGCGCTTGTATGTGTGTGACAGAGAGAGGGGGCCGTCCTGAGCACAAAGATCAGATCAGTGCATTTGTAATATAAAAGAATTTGTTCCTAACACATTTCCTCTTTTATTCTCTATCGCTATCACAATCCTCCCTTTTTTTGTCCTTTTAAAGGGGTCATATGATGCTTTTTTAAAGATTATTATTTTGTGTATTTGGTGTAACAGAATATGTTGACATGCTTTAATGTTCAAAAAACAAGCCCTCTATGCCCCGCCTCTCTCAAACGCTTCGTTTTCTACAAAGTCCCTCCTTCCGACAAGCGCAGTCTGCTCTGATTGGCCAGCTGACCCAGTGCATTGTGATTGGCCGAACACCACAAGCACTCGTCGGAAATGTAACGCCCCTTACCATAATCGCGAGCTTCAGCTTTCAAAATAACATAAAGACAGTAAATAATGTCAGTTTTACCATCAGTTCAAGCCCGAAAGGGGAACAGAGTCGCGTGATAGACACAGTGATGAATATGTGTTTGCAGTACACAAGCCACGGTTAAGACAGCTGACTCCGCTGTCTCGCTCTCTCTCTCTCTCGCGCTCTCTCTGTGACGTGCAGCCCCCTGTGTGTGTTTGTGTGTGTAATGGTGTGCTTCTGTGTCTTGTTACAAGACCCAACTGGCTTTTCAATTATATATCACCTACAGACTCAAACAAAGCTACTGTCCTTTCAAGCAGCAATTTAAAACATTCAAAATTCTCTCATGAAATGCAAAGTGAATAATTATGAAACTAAATGAACAGAGGTTTGAATAAGCACAGTATTTTCTCTAAAAATAGCGAATATTAGATTCACACACTAAATGCACTGTGACTAGACTGCATGCTGAAAACATGGCCACTGCAATGAAGCAAACCGTCACAACAAATCCCTCAACACAAAGCTGGACCATGCACCTGCCTCTTGATGTAAACCTACTGTTATAGTTCACTGTGTCAGAACTTTCTTTTGAATAGAGACAGAAGATGCTATTGGTTAACCACACCATTGGTTTTTTTAAAGACAGGTTTAGCTTAATTGTAAAATAATTTATGGTGAAACATTGCTGAAATGGATTTCAAAATGGAAAGGTAACCTAAAAATGGTATTAACTGGCTTTATTTAAGTCAAAAATATTATTTAATATCAACCTAAATACATGAATTAATACCAATAAAACTATTTTATGGGTCATATCAGGTATTAAATACCTCTTTATGGTAACAATTGCGGGTTTTTACAGTGTATCACATTATAATCAGTGAAGAAAGTGGCTTTCTTCGCTCTAACCATCACATTTGTTTAGATTTAATTAACAAAGTTATGTTCTTCATTCATGTTATCAGTTATATTGTTAGGCATAGTTGTCATTTATAATGATTTAATCATTATCTAGCATTATTTGTTTGGCTTGTAGCATCTGTATGTTTTGATTACATGGTTATATGAACTTACTTACAGTCATCATGTTTAAATAAGTTTAAAATAATATCGCAATGTGTTATTTTCAGTGCATTTTACAAAAAAGAAAATTTTAATAGCTCAAATACAAAAATCATAACATCTAAATGAACTGGTTTTATTCAATTCGCTGAATCAACCTAATACAGTACATTTATAATATATAGATAATAAATTATACATATATAATGCTTGTAAAATGGTACAGCTTTTTAAATATCTGAAAGTACACTCTTAATATCAGTCAGTCAAGCAGTCAAGCATTATAATATGATAATCAAGTATTATTTAATAATAAAAGTTTAGTAAATAGAATTAAAACTTGGTAACCATGAACTTAGGACTGGTGCTGGTGCTTTTTTTGGTCATTCAGTGTTCCTGTAAAAAAAAAAAACCAACAATAATACTGATAAGATATTATTATTATACGAATTCTACTAATAAGAACAATATAAACACGCACTAAGGATTAATGAGCTACTGGATTCATGAATATTAATCAGGTTGTGTGCGTTTGCTCGAACTGATTCGCTGAAATCAAAACAGGGATGATGAGCAATGAGATTGTCATTTGCGCATTAGTTCCGCCTACTACAGGAAAACCCGGCAGTTCTTAAAAGCTGAAGATTTCCAAAGGAACTCTTTTTTTCAGGAAAGTAGGCATGGGTCGGTATGAGATTTTGACGGTATGATAACCTTAAGCAAAAATATCACGGTTTCACGGTATTACGGTATTGTTGTTACAGCTCTAAAATGTGTTAATTTGAAATGTCTGGGTAAAAAAAAAAAAATGCACATCCATTTAAATGAACTGAAAAATATCACAGATCGCTTGACGGAGAGTGAAACTCTGAAGCGCTCAGTCAGAGTGTTCTGTGAGTGAAAATATATCTGTGCTAATCATATACTCAGCCTCCAACTCACACACTGGCGAGTAAAATCTGAGAATTTATTAGCCATTGGCTAATATTAGACATCATTTAGTCGCCCAGAGTGAAGATTTAGTCGCATATGCGAGTGATTTACTCGCAATGTAGCAGGTTGCAAGATATTGAAGGTTACCACTTTTTACAGTGTTGGTTAGTATAGTAGTATTACATAATTCAATCATTTTTATTCATGATTAAAAATATTAATAACTATGTAATTGAATGACTTATCGTCACAGTTTTTTTTTAATATGTTCTGGTACATACAGCTTTAATTTTTTTGTGTAAAATTTAACAAAAACAATTACGGTATAGTCTATATAGGCCAAGTTTTCTTTCTCACAAACAGCAGCAGACATCAGCTGGGACTAAAACACCTGACACTAGCTCTTCCTCATGTCTCAGTCCTGAAGGCCACCTTTCATCCCAGATCACTGCAGTAAAACAGCAGCAACCCGTATAATACAGACATCAAAACTCTTTTTTAGCCATTGCTATCCTAGTCCATAAACTGCTTGCAAGAAACCCAACTATATGCACGTCCAAAGCATGCTGAGCAATACCTTGATGCTCCTGCATAGCACATCAACGTACGAGGCATCAACATACGTCATTTATACACATATATATGACCCTGGACCACAAAACCAGTCATAAGTAGCACGGGTATATTAGTAGCAATAGCCAACAATACATTGTTACGGGTCAAAATGATCGATTTTTCTTTTATGCCAAAAATCAATAGGATATTAAGAAAAGACCACGTTCCATGAAAATATTATAAGATAATATATCAAAACTTAATTTTTGATTAGTAATATGCATTGCTAAGAACTTCATTTGAGCAACTTTAAAGGCGATATTCTCGCAATATTTCGATTTTTTTTGGCACCCTCAGATTCCAGAATTTCAAATAGTTGTATCTCGAACAAATATTGTCCTATCCTAACAAATCATACATCAATGGGAGGCTTAATTATTCAGCTTTTGGATGATGCATACATCTCAATTTCAAAAAATATTGACCCTTATGACTGTTTTTTGTGGTCCAGAGTCACATACCTAGTTCACAATACTCGAATTTCAATAGCTCATCTATCAACTAACAATCAAAGTAGTTAGTGGAGCTTCCAATAAGCCAGACTGTGACTTTGATCAATTGACATGACACAGCACACGAACAGACATGCTTCCGGCGGATATCGCCAACTAATATTTAATCCACCACCTTGGATTCTAACGGGAAAGCAGCATGCCTTAAAAACAAACACAAAACAGCTTGTTTGATGCGTGTCAGACGAAGGAGCGGCATCCGGTCGACACGGTTTTCATACCTGAGCTGTCCATGGTGCTGTAGTCGTCCTGCCGCGCGGGGCCTGTTTTAACGCTGCCGAGGGTCCCTGCCGTCAAACCGCCGCCGCCGCCGCTTCGTCCCCCGGTGTAGAAGTCTCCGCTGCTATCGACCAGCTGCAAAGATTCGTAGCCATCGTAACTGCTCTTTTTCTTGTAGCCACCTAGCAGGCTCATGAGCACAATTGGCAATCACATAGACGTAAGACAACGACGATTTCAAGAGACTAGGGGAATGCACATGTTCTGTGGGACAGCTCGGAGGGAGGGAATAATGTCCCGCTACATACGGCCGCTAGCTGCGGGAGAGAAGAGGGCGGTGTGTCTTCAAGCGCCGCATTTACTACGCTGCACACACACAGAGCCAGCAGCCAATCAATGCAGCCGGTTAACATCCCACTCTGCACCCTCTGTCCACATCCTGTGCCTGCTTTGTATCTCATTATTTCATTTAGACAAGTGTATAATAAATCTATAACCTACCTGAATGATCATATTAACAAACATTATTACGATGGTCATCATAACACAAGCAAATAGTTAATAATTACATGAAAAGGAAAATTGTATTTTGCATTGCTACATTATTTTCTTAACAATTAAGCACATTTACAGTTACCATTATTTTAATTAGGAAAAAAAATCATTGTTTTACAGTAAAAGTTATATACTATGAAGTGAATTAATGTAAAAGTTGTTAAATATTACTGTATTACAATAATATGAACCATCATTCAGATTAATAGATATTAAATACACAAACAAACAAACAAAAAACTAATTTAAAATGTTCCGATACATTAATTAATATTTAGGAGGGAAATGTGCTTAACTGTCATGAAAATGATGAAATAAAATAAAAAAACTTAAAATTTAATTTAAAAACCTTTATATACAGTGGGGCAAAAAAGTATTTAGTCAGCCACCAATTGTGCATTCCTTTTTCCGTAGTATTTCTAACCAGCCCCAAATCTGCATTGAATCTGCACATGCATGCAGACTGTTAATAAATCACCCCTTTCTTGTTTGTTTATTAACTATTTTCGCCAATTTTATCATGCATGCTTTTAGAATTTCTCTCAAAATAAGCATAAAGAAGTTGGAGGGAAAATATGCAGATTCTGTCTATGGTTTATTAATAGAATCTTGTTTATTTATTTAATATATTTTTTGTTTGTTTTGAATGGTCTGAAAAGCTTCAGCAAAACAGCTTGTTCTTGTTCAAATCTGCCTGTTTTTGCTTTGCATACAAATAAACATTTCAGAACAAGTCATTTCTAAACACTAAAGGCTGTAAGACTTGATAATAAAGGCATGCATATTTAGTATGTAAAAGGTAAAAATCCCTCTTCTCCAGTAAAGAAAAACCAAGTGTACTTTTATGGCTGTTTAGTTCAAACATAAATTTGTCTTGGTTGTATCTGTGCCCTGCAGTGCTAAATAAATGTTGTTGTTTTTGCATGGGCTTTGCATTGTTTTCTGTCTATGGGTAACCCTGATATAGTGTTTTGTGCTTTGCCAGTGGAAGTCAGGCAATCCAAGACTTCCTCTCTGGTAGGATGATTTATGCAGCCCCCTTGCTTGGCATCCACTGTGGCTACATGCTTTCTCATAAGAGAGCTGAAGTCCGGGCAACTCTTTGAGAAGAGTGAGACTGAGAACACAGCATGTAGGAAGTGTCACCAAGTGTCACCAAGAGAAAAGCTCTGGTTGCTGTCTGCCATTAATTACCAATTTAACGCTAACTCCAATTCATTCGTTTACCTTTACTGTTATTAAAACAATCAGTAAAAGTCAGCTGGAGGACACTTGTAGTTGTAATACAAACTTTAAAAAGACAGAACATATGATCATGTTGCTTTAATCCCATGGTACTATTTGAAGAGCAAGAGAATGTCAATATTGTTATTTCAGTAGGCTATATATAATGAAAATCATCAGCTGAGAAAATGGTAAGCATATGCACATTAGCCCCACCAACAGCCAGAATAGCAATCATTGCATTTCAGGCAATACACAAGTAAAACTATTTTTTGTTCAACAGCTTTTTTTTTTTTTTTTTTAATTAAAAAGCTTGCTTCTGCCACAGGGTTAAAAAAATTGCACTTATTTTTTCCCAAGACTGAGATTGCATCTCACAATTTGGATTTTTTTTCTGACTTTTTTTTTAGAATTGTGATAGAATTAGAATAGAATTGTGAAATATAAACTCATAATTGTGAAATATAAACTGAATTGTGAGATTTAAAAGTCACAATCATACCTTTTTTTTGTTCAGTGGTGGGAAAAAACAATTGTGAGATGTAAACTCATAATTCAGAGAAAAAAATCTAAATTGTGAGATGTAAACTCGCAATTGCAAGAACAAAAAACAGAATTCTGAGTTTATATCTCACAAATTAAAAAAAAGTAATATTACCTTTTTTATCTTTTTTTTTTTTTTATCTCTTGGCAAAAACGGGCTTTGATAGAAAAGCATTAGGCTTGTCGGAGTTAATCTTACACTCACACAAGGTTGTTTTTTAACACATCTTGTGATCTTTTTCAAGGCCTGTAACTTGTAAATGTCTGATAATCTGTCACCTACAATGTTACAAGCGTCTTTAAAAAGAAATCGCACTCTATACCCTAGAGGCAAATCTAGTACTTTATACATGCTTAGAAAGCAAGACTGGACTGAAGGAAGTAAGCATTATTTTCTCTTTTTATTTCAATATGTTTAAAAGACCGTCTTCATATTCACAAACTGGCATCTGTATAAGACTACAACGAATTTTATGAAACCATTAACAAAAGCTTACATGCCTCACGCACTGTAGGTGATTCAGGTGACACTCAGACCACAAAGTATCTTGGTTAATATGTTGGCTGAACGAAGTGGACTTGGATTCATGGGTTTGGATTAATTTTTAACATAATGAAAGCTTCAATTGTAGTAGCTTGCTTAAAAAGAAGTTACTAAGGTTGCATTAACCCTTTAGGAACCCTTATAGTTTAAACCGATAGTTCTTTGCAGCTGGTAAAAAATTATATAGGCTTAAAACTCACATTGGATCAATTCAGCTGAGATGAGACATCATCAGTCATGAGAAACATTCTAATGTAAAGCCGAAACTGTGAGGACATGCGATATTGCGTCCATGGCAACAGAGGCAGGGAGCGCACCCTTCTGCACAGCTCCATTATGGTGCAAGGGATTCCCCTAAACCTTTTAAACCATCATAAACTGACCATGTGCATATTATAGATTACACATTAAAAACAATCAAACAATATAACACCTTCTTTGTCACTGATCAAATGTCTGTGATTTTTTTTTTTTCAATTAAAAACATAGAGAAGATGGATCAGATGAGATCATATAATTTTGTGCCATTTACTACCATTTTCCAGAATGAATGAAGAGCGGATTTAATCATTGCTTATTATCAGTGGATCAAACTAACAGTAATATTGTATGGAATAAAACGAACCAGCAAACTTCAGGTAAATTATCTGATTTTTTTTTCTCATTTGCCCTGAATGTGTTTATTAGTGTACCTAACTATTATATATTATTTAAAAATGTGTTCCATAAAATGTTATATTAAAGATCTAGCTCTCTCTCTCTATATATATATATACAGTATATATATATATATATTACCCTGCTGGAAAATTGTGTTTTAGAATATATAGCTGGTTTCTATCTGGTCTAAGACGATTATTAGCATCTTGGAAATGCTAGCTAGCCAGCTACATCCATACATACATACATACTTTAATAAATAAATAAACTGATTAATTAATACATACATACATAGGCAACAAATACATAAATCATAACACATAAAATATCAAAACAGCTTAAGATTTTCAAGTTGTTTTTTTGGACGATGGTAGCTGGTCAAACAGCTAAATGACCGGTGCTACCCTGTCAGATTTACATTTTGCTACATCCCATTAAATCAGATGGTAGCATAATTCGACAGCGAAAAGTGCTACATATCAGATTGTGCTTCCAGCATGATATTAATAAGGTGTGAGGCTTTATTAACATGTACACCTACCCCAACCCTAAACCTACCCTTACAGTGGGATAAATACAGTGTTGGTAGCATAATCTGATAGGTAGCATTATTTGTCAGAACACCGGCTTGCACCTGCAAAATATGCCAATCTTAGACCAGCTAAAAATCGACCATGTTCCAAATCATCTACAATCCTAAAACTAGATTTTCCAGTACGGTCTATTCTTCTGTCGAAATCTCGGTTCATCCGAATACATAATAATAGTAAGCGATGATACTAAACATCACCTCCTCTGCATCAGGCGTCCGATCAGCTGATCTGATCCAAATGTCGTGACTCTTGTAGGTTATTGCTTCTTAAAACAGGCCTATCGTCATATACAAATTCTCAAGCGCGATATTAAGCTGCAACGGTGTTGGCATGATGAAGACCACATCTAAACAAAACACCTATGGCACTACATGAAACGTAATACTTATTTAGCAATGCAGATAAGGATGAAAATCCAACCTCGGGATTGATTATGACATCACGACAGCCACGACGGTTTATATATTAATAACAATTCACTCCGTAATATCGAAGATGTCTCATTCACTGCTGTATGGCTACAGCTACTAATAATAAACACATTCAGCGGTTTATAAACAGCGCTTTCCTCCTACCTTTCGATGCGCTGCCTCTCATTCTCCGATGCCCCCCAGCTGATGTCAGAAACGCTGACCTTTCATTTGTCATTCGCTGGCTGTCAAAGGTCAGATTGGCGCGTGTCTCAGCGAATCGTGCTCGATCAGATTCTTCAAGCGGCGATGAAGAGCTTCTTCAGCATCATCGAATCAAAACCTTCAAGCCAAATCCACAGCCTGACCGTCAGTTTGATCTAACCTTAGATTAATAAACATACGTACTTATACTTTTTTTTATTTTTAAAAATGTTTAATCATTCTAACTGTACAAAATATGCACGTAAGCGTTCATATCTAAGAAAACACGGAACGGATTTTTGAATTGGGAGTCAAATCTATCGCTGATTTGTTGTAACGTTAGTTGTTTTTTAAGCTACAGGCTATTAAGCAGTCAAACTTGACTATTTTTATTTCGTTTATTTATTTTTCATGGGAAGGATGATGATCATTTTAGCTGTGTGTGATATTGTGGACTTCCGTGATGCCGCGCACAGACTGGACGCAGATGGTATGTGCCATATAGACATAATAATAATTGTATGTGCTACTATGGCTGATACTGAGCTCCTGAATATTAATTAGATGATGGTGACGTTGCACGGCAAACTTCCTGGAACGTCCAACTGGGAACGTGTATTTTACCTTATTAATATTCATGAGGCAAGCCTTCGCCGTAGTAGGATTTGTAAACGTTATTACACATATTGCAGCCCCCGGCCAGAGCATCCCACCCAGCTGGCCAGATGCCACGTGAGACGTTTTTACCAGCAGAAAGCTAACAATAATAATAAATAATCATTAAAAAATATTTTGGCTGTAGGCTTACATAGGCTATATATATAGGGCCTGTGTGTGTGTGTGTGTACAAGTGAGGAATGCAACAAGTGATTTATCATAAGGAGGCAATAACGTCACGCTAGCAATACAAAGTTTCATACATTGCCCACAATAGTACAAGCTACAAGAAAGATGTATAGATGTAATATAACGATAGTAAATGCATAGGACAATATTTTTTAATGTCAGTAGGGTGCAGTTAAAGGAATAGCTCACCCAAGACTGATCATTTGCTCAAAGTTTACTCACCCTCAGACCATCCAAGATGTAGATGAGTTTATGTCTTCATCAGAACAGATTTGGAGAAGTTTAGCATTACATCACTTCCTAACCAATGGATTCTCTGCATTGAGATTTCACAGCAGAGAATCACTTTCTGAATGAGGGTTCAAACAGCTGATAAAAACATCACAATAATCCACAAGTAATTAACTTCATTGCAGTGCATGTTTGTAAGAAACAAATCATAAAGGCAACTTAACTTTAAACCGTCACTTCTGGCCAAAATACCAGTCCATAATCCATAATATTGCTTCCTCCAGTGACAAACATCATCCCCGTTGTCCTCTCACCCACCAACATATTTGTTAGAACTGTTTTTTTGGGCTGTTTTCACTTGTAAAAAGGTGCTTGACCCGTGCATATTTCTCTCCTAATTCAAACGAGACTTAATACTTATGCAATATTATGGATAGAGGATTTATATTTTTATTTTAGCCCTAAAGCAATGGTTTGAAGTTAATTAAAAACATCTTAATTTGTTTATTACAAACACGCAGCTTTCTACTTCACTGGATGTTAATTAATGGACTGGAAGTGGAAACATGGATTACTTGTGGATTACTGTGATGTTTTATTCAGCTGTTTAAATTCTCATTCCAGCAATACACATTCACTGCAGAGGATCCATTGCTGAGCAAGTGATGTCATTTTTTCAAATATTTTCCAGTGAAGAAACACATCTACACCTTGGATGGCCTAAGGGTGAGGAAAATTTCATTTTTGGGTCAACTATTTCTTTAAGTGCAACTATTCCTTTAAGAGATGACACAGCTAGCAGTGTAACACAGCTAAAAAAAACTTTCACAAGGTTTTTGTGAAATAAGCCCGTAAAACAGGGGTCTACCAAGAGGTTCAGTTCTCCTAGAGGGCCAGAGTTTAGATCCAACCCTGCTTCAAAACACCTGGCTGTAATTTTGGAGTAATTTCAAAGACCTTTATTAGCTGGTTCAGGGGTCTTTAACGCTGGAACTAATGCAAGAAGGTAGAATAGTTTTATAAGGGTAGTTTAAAATGTAGAAATTAAATTATGCTATGCAGAAGCATTTACTGTTTTCCATTTGAAGAAAATTATGTTTCATTCTCACTATGTTACTCAGTGTGAACACACAACTCACACTTTTGTGTCTCAATCCACTGCCTAGTTCAGTGGTAAGTACACTGTCCAGGGAGTCATCCAGACTAAAAAAATGTAACTAAATGGTAACATCTAAATTAATGGGTTTTATTCCAGTTAAAAGCATTATTTAATATCAGTAAATCAGCCTAAATACATTGATTTTGTAACACCCCTGTGGACTGTTTGTTGTGGTTTCTTCCCCTTGTTTTGGTTTAGCCTGTCTAATTATTAGTTAATCACCTCATTGTGCTCACCTGTCGGTCCCTCGTTAACTGCCCTATATCTGTTCCTGTCTCTTGTGTTCTAGTTGGTCGGTTATTGTAAATGTTACCCCGAGTGTGTGTCTGTCTCTGCCTTGTTGTTGCTACATTAAATATCCTTGTCGTCCTCGTCATCCTGCCTGCCTCCACACACCTGGACCGTGACAGATTTACACAAACAAAACTATTTTCATGAGTCAGATTAGGTAAGCTAACAGTTGCAGGTTACCAGGTTTTACAATGTATTTCTGATGCTGCCCTGCTGTCCAAATCTTTCCAGTGCATAGAAATGTGTGCTCCTTAGAAATCAGGAATTGGAATGAGTAGTATGAGTTTAAATAAGAAGGTTTTTTTTTGCAGAAACAATTATATAAGGGAATGGCGGTTTGTTTTCACATTCATTATTCCTTCAAAACCTACTAACTTTTCGCTATTTTAATGTTGCTACATACCCAGTTAACAAAAATATGTTCTTAGATTGTTTTGCTCACTGTCATTTTAATTTTTCAAAAGGTTTTTAAAAGGTTTTTCTTGGTTATATGAATGTTAAGGGAGCATTCCATTTTATCATTCTGCCAACATTATGGTAAAGTTAATTTTGAATGGTCTCTGACCATTCTGAAACAAAAAACTTTACCCCCAGCTAAAAACGTTTCAGGAAAAAAATGATCCTTGAGCAATGTATAAATAACATTTTTATGCTAGCATTTTGAGATTATTAAAACTCAGATAACTTTGAATAGACATTCTGTTAACATTATTTAAAGAATGTTTCGTAACTTTGGGAGAACCTTGCCAAAGTTAGCTGAAAGAATAAAATGTTCACCTGGATGCGGGGAGGATTGAAGCACATGTTGTACACTCTGCCACTGGGTGGATGTATCCATCGATGTCGCAGCCTTTCCTTCAGTGTTTCCAAAGGAATGTTGAGATTGATGGCTACATCCAGATCACAGGCACTGTTCAGGGCTTCAGCCTGAGCTAGTGTTCGAGGGAAACCTGGAGGGTGAGTGCACAAATGACTTCTAATACTTGAATACAGGCCCAAACGGATTATTTACATGAGTAATTACATTTCCTTTCTTATTTGATTATAAAATTTTACAATATTAGCTTTAGGTTATAAATAGTATTTTGAAATGCCACTTTAGTTGCAAAATGTAGTTTCGCAACT